CGTTCAAGAACTTTTTCATCTGTTTTAAATTGTTTCTATGTTCCGTTTGGGGCTCCCTCCCCGTTCTCCAGGGATACGGGTGGTGGCCCCTTAAGATTCGGGCTTTTCGATCTTGGGGCCTTCGAAATCAATGTCGCCCTCGACCAAACCCTAATAAAAATCCTTATTCTTTGCAAATGCACGTCACAGCTGTAATCCTTGCGTACAGCATTCGCAAGTGTTTAACGAATGGCTTTTCTGAAACACCTGTACCTAAACCGCCTACAAACTAATTCACGCTTCTTCATCTCTGACTAGTCAATTTCCAATCAACTCGTATAACGATTTGCTAGGAAAGTAATGAAACCCTTATAGAAGCAGTAGCTATGACGGTATTTCGCAAGTTCAGTAAACAGTTCTCAGTGACCAGTCCGCGCCATTTTAATATTACTACTTGAAAAGAAGTTTTGCCTGCATCAAAGGGCTTGCAAAAGCATTAAAACAAAGTAAACATGAAGGAACGAAAATCAATCGTTTGGTGATGAACGCATGATGCAGTTGATCGCAAAATTAATTTAGAGATATCATGATTGGTCAGGTCGTTGTTCATCATGGTGTAGATGCAGTCAAGATGAGCGTTTAACGTGCTCTAGGCTGCCGTGTTTGCCAGATGGGGAGTGCAATGCACCGCTCACTAAAATGGGTTCGTATATTAGATTTCATTCCGTTCGCTTCTACTCAACTTTCATGAGCCTCTCCTTTCCAACTCGTTCTCATCATATTTCTTTTGTCTTCAAATGTGTTCCGACTGAAGACTATTCGTTGAGGTTCTATATTTCAATCGGATCATAACCTAAGTCATTCAGTGGTTCGAATAGAGAAAATCAGGAAAAACAGCTGATGAAAGTGATGCAACTGTTCGGCTATTATTGTTTTTTTTGTGAAAAATTATCGTTTCAGTTGTCTGAATTCAACGAACATTTCCAGGTTATGGCGAGAGATTGTACGTTAAGGATCGTGGCGCGTGCACTTGTCAGTCAGGAG